TGATTACTGATGCCATAAACAAGAGTGTCAATTTGTTAAATCAACAACAGGAGTCACTGTGCACTTACTCCCCATGTAGGATCTCTGTCCTTAATGTGTTGTACTATGTGAATTAACAGTATAACTAATAACTCAAATAGTACTTTACACTTTGTGTTTCTGTGTGGGTGCAAACTGTTGAAATCTTTACTTAGTATATACTAAATTGATCCTCTGTATATAAGGATAATTGAAAATGAATCTTAATGAAGAATGGGGTGGGAGAGGGAGTGGGAGATGGGATGGTTGCAGGTGGGAGGGAGGTTATGGGGGTGAAAAGCCACTGTAATCCAAAAGTTGTACTTTGGAAATTTATATTTATTAAATAAAAGTTAAAAAAAAGAAAATAGTTGGCATATGCCACAAGAATAAAAAATAAAACTGCTAACTGTTGAAGTGCTTAAAAAAAATTACTACTTCTGTGCCAGGGTTCTTGGTCTATGAAGCAGTTGTCAAAGTTGAATGATCTTGTTAAATTGCTTTTTGTACTTGTTAATTTTATATCAGCCAAATCTCCAAGACAGCATCCATTTTTTAAATTGTATCTTAATTTTATTATATAACATTACAAAAAATTTTTTTTTTTTTTTTTTTTTTTTTTTTTTTTTTTTTTTTTGACAGGCAGAGTGGACAGTGAGAGAGAGAGACAGAGAGAGAAAGGTCTTCCTTTGCCGTTGGTTCACCCTCCAATGGCCGCCGCTGCAGCCGGCGCACCGCGCTGATCCTGGCAGGAGCCAGGAGCCAGGTGCTTTTCCTGGTCTCCCATGGGGTGCAGGGCCCAAGCACCTGGGCCATCCTCCACTGCACTCCCTGGCCATAGCAGAGAGCTGGCCTGGAAGAGGGGCAACCGGGACAGAATCCGGCGCCCCGACCGGGACTAGAACCCGGTGTGCCGGCGCCGCAAGGTGGAGGATTAGCCTATTGAGCCACGGCGCCGGCCAAAAAATTTAAAAGCAGTAATTTTGACAGTGATATTATTATTATTAGAAAAAATTTAATTATAACTTTCTTTTTAAATTCAAAGCTCTATCTTCTTCATGCATCATTATAATTGACTATGTTGTATTAATTTCTTTGTGGTATTACTTTAATTATTAATATGAAAAAGGTGAGAAAAGAGAAAGGGCAAATGTAACCTTTTTTTTTTTCTCCAATGTGCTCTTTTTCTAATTCACATTTTAGAAGACCAAATATATTCCAGACATGAAGAAACTTTAATGTTGGCAGCTGTTAGTAACACATTGGCACTTCGGCCTCTGCTGCTTGGAAGCCTGCCAGTAGATTGTTTAAAGTTTGTGTGCCTTAAGGAACGGCTGGACTTTACAATAGCACTTGCTTTCCGATTTTGTAGTTCATCTGAAATATATTTATGTGATTTAAAGTGTTAACTTTCAAGTAGCCAGAAAATCCTAACTCGTTATTATGACGTACATTAAAAATAAGATGTTTTGGACAAACCAAGGCAATTTCACAATATAAGAGGGTACTATTAATAATTACACTAGAACAACAGATGTGAACTTGGCTATTTTTGTCGGCTTTAATTAAACCCCAGTTAAGATAATTCAAACATAATTAGTAACCTGTAAAAACATGTCATTTAGCTATAAGAAACCACCTTCAAACTCAGTGGCTTAAGACAATTACTGTTTTATTAACATTTGTGATGACTTAATTACCGTTATTAATTTTTATCATTCTTGTGTTGATGATTTGGACTGCAGTGGCTAAGAGGGCAAAGATACCTGGACAACTGAACTTTCTCCATATAGATTCTCATTCTACATGAATTGTTTACATTCTTGCAAAATATGCTGATATCCATACTGGGATTCCAAAGGTTTCATTCCAATAATAGCAGCAGTTTCAGAGTTTAAGAACTTATCATTTAAATCAAGTCTAGGTGCAAATTAGGCTTCTTGGGTTTTTGTTCCTTGGGAAGGCTCTTCATATGGGTTCCTACACACTAGACATGCAATGATGAGGCAGTTGCAGAATAACCACAATCAGTATTCCCAATCAAAACTGGAGGAATAGAAACTACATGGCTCAAATTGGTCCATAGCAATTCTGAATCCTCACTGGACACATAATTCCAGGCCACCTGCTTGGAGGATAGTGAGTTCTTTGGATATGACCTAAATCTGTTTCATCAGAATAGTTCATTGTTCCCTTGGGCATTTGTTCTGCCCTCTGGGCTCTTGGCTCTGTCTTCTGAAATCTGTCTCATTCAGTAAGAAGTGGTTTGAGTTAGCAGTTGAATAACTTTTTCAGCCTGCTTACCTGCCTGTGGAAAACTGAGAACCACAGAAGTGTTCTCATTTTGAAATTTCTGTGTCTTGACTAATCCAAGTTAATATGGCACCTTAAAAACCTTTTTTTAGGTCTTCTATTTATCATATTGTATCTACTCCATTAGAGAATGGTCCCATTCCCAATTCTTTTCAGAACAGATCGTCTTCCTACATTGGTCGGTATGTGAGAGTTTTGTGGAGCGAGTTCTTTTTTTCCTGGCAGAGATCATTGGTTAAGGCTCCACTTTAAACCATTCAGCAGTTTTCAAAAAGTTATTACAACCACATACTTAATTTGATCTCTGACTGCTGTCTTTATTTTACTCTGGAAATACTCTGCCTGCAAGCCCTGTGTTGTCCATATTCCCTTATAATTTTTCATACAAACTGAACATTTCCATCTTTAACTCCTCTCTGTGTTACAACTTACACAGCCGTAAGAAGTCAGTTCAGGGGCCCATTTTGTGGTGCAGCAGGTTAAGCTGTTGTTTGACATGCCTGCATTTGATATCTGAGTGCCCATTTGAATCCTGGCTTTTTCTGATCTAGCTTCCCGCTAATGCACCTGGGAAGCCATGGATGATGGCCCACAAACGTGGGTCCCCCCCACCTACTTGGGAGACCCAGATGAAGTTTTAGGCTCATGACTTCAGGTTGACCCAGTCCTGACTATTGTAGCCATTTGGGGAGTGAACCAGTGGCTGGAAGTGTTCTTTCTCTCTCTCCCTCTCCCTCTCCCTCCAATTCTCTCTCCCTCTCCCTTTCCCACTTTCCCTCCCTACCCACCTTCTGTCTCTTCTTCTCTGCTGTCACTTAGCCTTTCAAATAAATTATCTTAAAAAAAAAAGAAAGAAGAAGCCAGTTCAACGTTCTGTCTGGAAATCTCCTTAGCCAGATTCACAAATTCATTATAGATTTTCTCTATTCCTGGTAACTGAAGAAGAGAGTTTGGTCAAGTATTTCACTATATGAGACTTAGATTGACTTTTTTTCCCATAGTCTACAAAGCCAGCTTAAAATTTTTTTAAGATTTCTTTCAGTGGTATTTTATAGTTTCTAGTGTGCAGGTCTTACACATATTTTGTTAAGTATGTCTCTGTTAATTTTATGTTTTAGAATGTTATAAATGTGTTGTATATTTCATTTTATTTTCAACTGTCTATTGTAAATATAGTATAAAGGATACAACTGACTTGTGTATATTAACCCTATATCCTGCAACTGTGTTAAAATCACATGTTTTTTTCTAGTGGGTTTTTAGAAAATTCCTTTTTTAAAAAGAAAGATTAATTTTATTTATTTTAAAAGAAGAGTGACAGAAAGAGAAGGGGAGAGGGAGAGAGAGAGATTTTCCATCTTGTGGTTCACACCCCAAATGGTCTCAATAGCTGGACCAGGTCAAAACCAGGGGCAAGGAACTCCATCTGGTTCTCCCACAAGGGTGCAAGGGCACAAATACTTGGGCCATCTTCTGCTGCCTTCTCAGGCACATTAGCAGGGAGCTGGGTGAGAAGTGGAGCATCAAGGACTCAAATAAGTGCTCTGATAGGGATGCCATTGTTGCAGGTGGCAGCTTAACCTGCTGTGCCACAACACCAGCTTCCTTAGTATTTTCTTTGTACATCCTGATGTATATACAAATAAAAGCAGTTTTGCTTCCTTTTTCCAATCTGTATTACCATCTTTTACATGCCTTATTATATTGACTAGGGTCTCTAGTTACTGTTGAATAAGAATAGTAAGGTTGATATACTGGCCTTTTTTTCTTGTGAAGTGTTTAATCATTTACTGTTAAATATGCTACTAGCTGTGAGTTTTTCACAGATGTCCTTTACTGAGCTGAGGAAGTCCCTTTCTGCTCCTTGTTTACTGAGGGCTTTTGTTGGAAATGGATGCATTTTATTGTATGAAATTATACCTCAGGATGGCCCAAGTCCTTGGGCCCTGGCTTCAGATCGGTGCAGCGCGCTGGCCGTAGCGGCCATTTGAGGGGTGAACCAACGGAAGGAAGACCTTTCTCCTCTCTGTCTCTCTCTCTCACTGTCTAACTCTGCCTGTCAAAAAACATTAATTAACTAAAAAAAGAAATTATACCTCAATTTAAAAACTAATTTAATAAACATATTACATAGGGTACAGATTAAAAATTGAACAGAGCAGTGTTTTCTATTATACATACTAGTTTACAAGACAAATTGTGGAAAGTTTAGAAAGTTAAAAAATTAATCGTAGACTTGATCTATTTTTTATTTCATCAATTATCACATTAAAGGTATAATCAAAATATTGTTTGAAGACTTTGCTTTTGGAAATGGAAAATAAATCTAAGAAAGGAATTGCTATATTTCCATTCCCTACAATCATATAATACTTCAAAACTCAGTATTATCTCTGTGTGATAAACATTGATATCTGAATTGCACTTTTCTAACTAGGCTGCACTGAGAGATTTGAATTTTTGTGCTTTTCCCTAGAATAATCCAGAATTTTTATGAGATTTAGAATTTATTTTCCTTATTTGATGTATAAATGCTATAGATACATTCTGTACAATGTTAATAATTCTTTAGGTTAATTTTAAATTAGTATGACAAGGTTTTGCTTCTATTTCTATACATAAATCACTTGCTTCTAGTGTTTCTAATTTTGTCATAACTTTTTTAATAGGAGTTACTTAAAGATCCATTATATATTGGACTGCGGCAGAGAAGAGTGAGAGGGACTGAATATGATGACTTTTTGGATGAATTCATGGAGGCAGTTTCTTCTAAGTATGTATATCTTTTTACATTTGAGTTGAATTTCAAAAATCTAAGATAACCTAATATAACTAACTATAAAAAGATCCAAGTCCAATGCAGTACGGCTTAACAATTAGAAGTTATTTAAATTAAAAAAGAACATATACTGTATATAATGTATGAATCAAAAAGAATGTGTGTAATATGTATTTATGTAGCTTTTCTATCTGTCTCATAGCTTTTAGCAATCAAATGGTAGTGTCATGCATCTGTCCCAAAAAAGTTATATCTGTATCTATCCCTGAAGATCCTTCTCTCTTAAAACAGTCTTAGAAATTATGCTATTGATAGCCGGCGCCGTGGCTCAACAGGCTAATCCTCCACCTTGCGGCGCCGGCACACCGGGTTCTAGTCCCGGTTGGGGCGCCGGATTCTGTCCCGGTTGCCCCTCTTCCAGGCCAGCTCTCTGCTATGGCCAGGGAGTGCAGTGGAGGATGGCCCAGGTGCTTGGGCCCTGCACCCCATGGGAGACCAGGAAAAGCACCTGGCTCCTGGCTCCTGCCATCGGATCAGCGCGGTGCGCCGGCTGCAGCGGCGGCCATTGGAGGGTGATCCAACGGCAAAGGAAGACCTTTCTCTCTCTGTCTCTCTCTCTCACTGTCCACTCTGCCTGTCAAAAAAAAAAAAAAAAAAAAAAAAAAAAAAGAAATTATGCTATTGAAATGCATGATTGTGTGAAATGATCCAGCGACTGCTGACTCGTGGCCCGACCAAGCCTGTTTACATTTATCTGCCGTCTGTACCTTGTTTCTTGCTGGTGATAACATCTGATGTTCTGTCACCTTTGTGGTCAGTTTCTGACCGTTTTTGGATAGGAGAATCAGAGAACAAGGTGGTAAATGAGCATGAGTTGGTACAATCCAGAAGGATACATAGTAAAAGACACAGGATATCCAATCATCGTCTATGAATCCTTGATTAAATCTACAATGATTTATCAAAATGCAGTTGATATTTTCATATATTCTATTTAGCATTGGATTGTGCCACTGTAAAATTTTCCATTTTTCTCCTCATAAAAGACATTTCCAGCAAATTTAGTAATGTGTTCTGAAAGAATTTGGGATTTTTTTTTACACTGACAGTCATCCCTTTGTTACTATGGAGCCACAGAAACCATGTACTATTTAAAAACATATTGGTTGCCTTGGTTTTTCATAGAAACTAATCATGAGAATCAACTGTAACCAGAGATGTCCTTCTGGTTTCTTATACTGTTAAGAAGTTGTCTTCAAGAGCCAAAAGTACTTTTATCAGCCTACAAAGTATTTAGAATATATCAAATTTCTTATTACCTACAATTCTAGCACAGAGTATATATGCCAATTAGTATGGGCTACTTTATAAAAACATATGCTTGATGTATTATTTTATTTATTTGATTAAACTACAATTCTTTTTGTTATAAAGATTTACTTATTTATTTGAGATACAGTAATAGAGAGAGAGGTCTTCATCTACTGGCTCACTCCCCAAATGGGCACAATAGCCAGAGCTGGGCAGATCCAAAGCCAGGAGCCAGGGGCTTCTTCAGGGTCTCCCATGTGGGTACAGGGGCCCAAGCATGTGGGCATCTTCTAGTGCTTTCCCAGGCCATCAGCAGGGAGCTGGATTGGAAGTGGAGCAGCCGGGACTGGTACTGGTGCCCAAATTGGATGCTGGTGCTGCAGGCAGAGGCTTAACCTACTATGCCACAGCTCCATCCTCAATCATATTTATTCTTTCAAATAGTTGAGAAACTTCCATTTAAGTGCAAGATTGCTTGATAAGTTAATTTCTAGTCATTTTGACATATTTAATTTTAAATGCTTTGCCCTGTAAGACTCTTAGGTAAGTTTTTTTAAAAGATTTATTTATTTATTTGAAAGTCAGAGTTACACAGAGAGAGAGGGAGAGGCGCGGGGGGGGGGGGGGGGTGGGAGGGGTCTTCTATCTGCTAGTTCACTTCCCAAATGGCCGCAATGGCTGGAGCTGTGCCAATCCGAAGCCAGGAGCCAGGAGCTTCTTCCAGGTCTCCCTTGCAGGTGCAGGGGCCAGAGGACTTGGTCCATCTTGTACTGCTTTCCCAGGCAAGAACAGAGAGCTGGATCGGAAGTGGAGCATCCGGGACTCAAACTGGTGCCCATATAGGATGCTGGCATTGAAGGCGGTAGCTTTACCTGCTGTGCCACAGCACTGGCCCCTAAGGTTTTGATATTATCTGTAACTTTGTAAATAGCAACATTAATCAAGAGATTTTATAGACAGTACTATGAGTCTGTATAAAGAAAGGGAAATGCATTTTCCAACATAATTTGTTTCACTAGTTGTGAAAATAAAGTCTGTCTAAACAAGACAATCTCAACATACTTCAGTGATGGTGAAATAAAGATAGAAGAAGTCTTTCCGGGAAAAAAATTAGATATGAGCTAATTTTGAATATGTGTCAGTCTTGAATCAGAAAAAAAATGTGTTTTTAAAAACATTGTATTGACGAATTACTTAAGATTTTTTTTTTTTTTTTTGACAGGCAGAGTGGACAGAGAGAGAGAGAGAGAGAGAGAAAGGTCTTTCTTTTGCCATTGGTTCACCCTCCAATGGCTGCCGTGGCCGGCGCGCTGCGGCCTGCTCACCGCGCTGATCCGAAGGCAGGAGCCAGGAGGTTTTCCTGGTCTCCCATGGGATGCAGGGCCCAAGTACTTGGACCATCCTCCACTGCACTCCCAGGCCATAGCAGAGAGCTGGCCTGGAAGAGGGGCAACTGGGACAGAATCCGGCACCCCAACCGGGACTAGAACCCAGTGTGCTGGCGCCGCAAGGTGGAGGATTAGCCTATTGAGCCAGGGTGCTGGCTAAGATCTTTAATAAGATAACTAGGATTGACAGGATTCAACAATTTTATTTTTAAAAGTTTTATTTATTGTTTTGAGAGGTGCAGGAGTAGAAAGAAGTCAGAATTTCTACCTGCTGGTTCACTCCCCCAGTTCCCACAGTGGCTGGAGAGCTGAAGCCAGGAGTCCAGATCTCATTCCAGGTGTCCCACATGGGGGCAGGAACCCACTACCTGCCAGGGTCTGCATTAGTAGCAAGCTGAAATTAGGAGCCAGAGTGGTGGATCCAAACCAGTACTCCAGTGTGTGATGCAGGCGTCCTAACCAATGTAGAGTACCTATAAATCAGCAGTTGTACTTCTGGCTCTTCCCAAAGAAAAATGTCAATCACATTTGAAAACCAACTCCTGTCTTAACATAATTTTGGGAAAGTTTTCTAGAAGTGAAACCTAACATTACCTGATTAAATTGGGCAGTAGTCCTGAAGATGACCTCAGGATTATTTAAAAAGAAAACATAACTTGAATTCAAGAAAAGAAATGATTGGTACAATTTGGGTTACTTGGACATCAGATTCTGAAATGAAGTTTAGTAAGAAGTGTCCTCAAGATCAACCTCACTTGGAAAGGAGGAGCAGAAACAGGACTGCAACATACAAAGGTTGAGGCTGTACTGCAACACGGCTTCACACATTGCCTCGAATAAGTTGATTGGGACCACTCCTAGCTGCTCCTTAAGGGGACACTAATTTCAGGCACTCCAACTTCCCCCAATAATATGTTTTATTATGTTTTAATTGATTTGAGACGTAGAGGGACAGAGAGGCACAGAGAGTTTCCATATGCTGGTTTATTCTTCAGATTCCCATGGTGGCCAGGGTGGGGTTAGGGCTTGAGCAAGGAGCCAGAAATGCAACCCATCTCTTTCATGGGCGCTATGAACACAGTTACTTGAGCCATCACCTGCTGCCTCCTAGAGTCAGCATTCATGGGAAGCTGGAGTGGGGAAGTGGGGAGCTAGAGCTAGTATCAAACCTGGGTCTTCCAATATGGGATATGAGTTTGCAACCACTAGACTAAACACTTGCTCCTATGTTGTTTTTATTTACTACCTTAGCAGGGTTGAGGTGGAGCAGCTTTAAATTCTTCCTCTGGGTTCCTTCAGCAATGATACCTCTTACAATATAGGCTAAGGACTTGGTATGTCTGTGTTGATTATACAGTTGAGACTTGAGCAGTCACCGCCTGGTGGGTCTATGCTGCAGTGGATCCATTATGAGATCAGTTTTGGCTGGGACTCCATTTGTTACTGGCCTCCATATACCTCTACTCTGACCGGGGGAATTGAGGGAGCCAGCTTGTTCATACATCCAACCTGAGTCCCATGTCATTTCTGCCTAGTAGTCCTAAAAACTTTTGGATGTTTTTTCTGCTGTGCACAGTTTCCTAAGTGAAAGGTTGCAGTCCCTTTTGAGAAAAATTGGGGGATTATTACCCTGTGTAGTAGTTGTAGTAGTGTAGTAAGAACTTCCCTTCTGGAAATTAGGCCTCTTCTTCAGTCTGTGAACTTCAGGCCTAAAAACGAACTCAGGTTTGGAAAATGAGCGAGAGTGGACTTCATTGTGATAACTGCCATTAATTTTATGGCCATTCATCTTTGATGATTCGTGTGTGTGTGTGTGTGTGTGTGTGTCTGTGTGTGTGTGTGTGGAGAGAGAGAGAGGGAGGGAGGGAGGGAGGGAGAGAGAGAGAGAGAGAGGCAGGCCTTGCCACTCCTAGGATATTTTTATCCACCCGGTTCTTATGGTTAAACATCCTCAACTTGGGTTGTCATCCTCCTTGCCATCAGCGAACCGAGTTATGTCAGCCTTTTCTGCTGTCATCCCTGGCCTGCAGAGGAGAGCCACTGAACACCTTTGTTGTCTTCTTGCTACTATGTTTCTTACAGCTTTGGTAAATGAAGTGTTTTCTTCTCCTTCCTGTGCAATGTAATCATCCGATAGTGTGTATATTCTAGAAAGCCCACTTCTCTGAGCCTTGTAATCTCCTCTCCTGCAATCTTCTCCAGCATTTCAGCCATATTAAGTATGAGCCATTTGTTTGTTCATGTTTCTAAGAAACACCTAGAAGTGAGACTGAACCATCTGGGATTCTTGCCAGT